AAGTACATGACCCACATCACATTACCTAACCATCTTCAAGCTTACAATTTATGACACACCCCTAGCCATCACCGACAGTACTGGACACCGAAAGCACAATCCCTATTCAGCAACTCGTGCCATCAAAACCACTCTCAAAATAAGCACTACGAAAAACCAATGACTTTATCTCCTTCCGTGGGAGTGAGTCGACCAAATTAGCCAAACCTTTACCGATGAACTCAATAACATAACAAATCACACACACAAGTCTGTCCACCCACAAACGTAGACAACTTCTCAATGAAGAATAAGACTTACGACGAACGACGTCGTTGCCAGGACTAGAACAAACGGAAAGGGTAACAAACCCCATTCTCACAAGAGACTGACAACTCGCATATGAATGTACCCGACACCTTGTCACATGCTACACACCAACTGTCCAACTATGGACACCCAATCTCACCTGAGATGAACTAAACTCCTTACACACAAAGAGAAGAACCAAATGGATACCCGTACAGAACTATGAACTAAATTCTAGGAGACTTCGTAACTAACGGACCATTATACACTATTAATAAAGAAACCTTGCATACGATACCCTACAACGCCCATGCTAACCAAAACCAATCAGATCCCTACCACCCATTCGTCGAGTACTAAGATCCAACTCACAACATAACCATCAGACAAGAGCATCAATGCTTATAACATACCAACACTAGAAATGATCACAACCCATTGGACACCACATCCCGTCACTCCCGAATGACAAACCATATGCCAAAAAAAGACACTTTACCACCCGTTCCATTACTACCTTCCTAGACGATACTGTCTCAATCACCATGCACACCCGACTTGTGACCTCAGTCACAACAATCAACTAACTCGTCAAAAAAAAAGGTGCCTATCTAGCAACATCATCCCCACTGGCTCAAAAAGGCTAAACAGTCCACAATCGCCTCGACTAGCGCACAACCCCATCACCTACCTGACAACACATAGCAAATAACTTACAATCTCTAATCCATCCTCGGATTATACCTGAAACCATTCTGCTCATCAGTACTAAACATCATGCCATAACGCTTCTACTACCATCATCCTCGAATGACAACTCAAACTCACGTCTCACCGACTCAACAGGCTACCGCCAAACGATCTCAACTCAAGCATCCCTAGGATAACACCATCATAACAAGAGAGTATGCCTCACCCTCGATACTCCCCATAGTAACCACTACATACCACTAGGATAGAACCCTTGCACGGCAATGCCATGCCGACAGATCCTAAAGAAAAGGAATGAGCACAAAAACCAGAATGCTCAACACCCAACTATCTCCTTAAAACCATCTACAATGTAATCAATCACCAACGCTTAATTGGATACTCCGACCATTCTTCCCAAGACACCCTACACACTCAATCAAAGAAGCCTTACGCCCTAGCGCCAACACCATCACTCTTATTCTTTACCATTCCTCAAAACACCCTTAGCCCCGACAAAAGTCAAATAGGGCTACCAGCTAAACCTACGAGGTCACCCTCGTCCCAAACATTCCAATCGTTAGTCTATCCTTTTGAATTCCTTAAACAACAAGCACTACCTCCTCCTACCCCAGACACAACATGAAATTCAACTCTAGTCCACAGCTTTCAAATTCTTAAACATTATCCATTTAGTAACACAATGCCTACCATCAATTACTTCATCTACAACAACCAAACATACCAATGACTACATACTATTTACCTTATTGTGTAATCCAATACTACACAACTAAAACTGACCACTATACCTCACCTCAAGACTCTCTCGACAACCGTGACAACCTACAACCCCACTCATCAACCGACCAATGCAATCAACTCACCGAGAGTCGATTACCCGCAACACACTCCCGTAGCTATCAAAACATGAATCACTCCTCGATAAACCAGTCCCTAAAACAGATTCTCACAACCCATGAACTGAATCACATCAAACGGTCGGTCACCCAGTACTGGAATGACTGCAGTAAATGCTTACATCACCCTAGACTCATAGAGTCCAACAAGTCCCCTTAACCACCATAACCAACACGGTTCCTTAGACTATACCAGAATACTCGAAATACACATCTACAACCTAAAGACTACACTCAAGACTCTAGTAACCTCTATAACACCCACCACAAACTGGTTTGAAGAGAACCCTTGTACTAAACCACGACCTAAGTCATAAACACTAACTTCTAAAAGTCATACATACCTCACGAAAACCTCACATTGTAGACCTAACTTCCATGATCACAGGAACCCACGCGCTAACACATAAAACTCATACGTCTCCCCCAGGACATCGCACTGTGCCGTAACAATCATTCGAAGGTCGTGCCCCAAGCACTACGCCCTAAAAACAATGAGAAAATTGAAGCAACCTTGTATTGAATAGCTCGATCCATGAGCTAAAGACCTATGCTATTCGTTCGATAAGAACCAACACTCAAAGAACCCTAGAGCAACAGAGCTCATCCCCTACTCAGGTTAAAACCTACACAACCATCAATGCTGTAACAAGTACTCTACCGTACTAGCAACCACCCCATGCTCGTCCGCATAAACACATATAAGTATATAAATATATACATATACCAAATAATTGAAACTCACAATACCATACGAAACATGCTTGCATACCCATGCTCATTACTTGTCACATTAGCATAAAAGAAAATTGAACCAACTGTGCCTACTGCTTGCCACCGTCATGCATCTCATACTTTGCACTTTATCATATATAACATGCTTCCAAATAATATAAACACTTCATTTACATATACCGACAATTTAAACACATAAGCACTTAATAAATAGGTATGCTTTCAAAACTGTAATCATATAAGCAAGTAACAAGTAGGCATGCTTCTCAAAACAACAAACATTTTAACATGCAACACCCTTAAATCACTCAAGTCCCACTTAGGTCAACCCTACTCGTCATCCTTAGGTTTTTGAACCTAACGCTCTGATACTAAATTTGTATCTACCTCGGCCCGAGGGTCCGAATCGCTAACTGGGTCCTCACCCGAACCCGAGGTCAACTAAAGATACGTGTCATCCCAAGGTTTATAAATAAAATAAAATAAATAAATAACAATAATAAAATGAGACCATGGCTACAAAGTATATCAAAACAATCCACTAACCTATCAAAACCTGTGGAGGAGCGTCGTCCGCCACTTCATTCTCGTATCCTGAAAAATGTTAAAATAATGGGGTGAGCTAAATGCTCAGTAGGAAGTGTCTAAGACCTACTTCTTATGACCCTGTGAATCCACATAAGGAATAAAGTACAAGTAAATGAGATCATGCCTCGGGGAAAACAAGTAAAACAATGATAATATCAACAAATATATACGCAAGTCGTCTAACCACCAAATGTACAATGTATGCCAATGAAATGCGTTGTCATGCCATGTTGCTCCTCATTTCTGAAACAATACCGTTTCAACTTCCAAACTATTAGTGCAATCCGACCCAATGCACCTCCAAGGCGTCACGAATAGAGGGTTGACTAACTATCCACGACCACAAGGCACCTCCAAGGCGTCGCACTTGGCCTAGTTAGCTCAACCATACTCCCTTCTATACTACACTAACAACATGGACCGCTAGGCGCCTCCTAGGCATCCGGTTTTCACAAACACTTTACAAAAAATAACTTTTCCCAAGAACAATTTCATTTGCTTTTAAAACAAACTTTTCCTTTTACTTTCCCAGTGGTAATGCATGAATTATGCAAATCCTTCAATGCCATGACAAAATAGAAATTTCATACATATGATTCACATCATTCAAGCATGTTCAAAACATAAATTTCAACACAATATCACATTCTCATATTTTTAAATCATGGCATTTTATATACTTTTAATTCGCAAGTCCAATAACTTAAATACATAAGGTATAACAATAAGGTCATTTATTTTCATAGCTACAACATCATTTTTCATAGCAATTTAAAATCATAGGACATATAATTACATCAACACTAAGCATGCTTCTTCACCATAAGAATTTAATCATATTCATAAGCTCACTTAACACATAGCATGCCTTTATCACCTTAAATACCAACAACCACAACAAATATAATCAAGATAATTACAATTAAGCATGCTTAGAGTCAAATTAAAGGAAAATTTCATAAGAAATCTAAGAAATTGTGGATTAGAGCACCCCTACCTCGAATTGATGAAAAACCCTAATTTTCCCCAAATCCAAGCCCTAGAATTTCGAAACCCCAAGGTGCACCAAACGAGGAATTGCTTTGATCAAATCGAATATCACGATGCACTCTTTAATTTGCCACAAACGGCACTTTAAAACTCCAAAAGATGAAGAAGAGATCAAAGTTTGAATCTTTGATGAGAAAAAGAAAAAAAAAAAATTCAAGAAGAATACCTATGGGAGAGAGAGAAAATGGAGACCAAACTTGGTCTCTAAGCCCTTTAAGGATAAGTGGTGGGTCCCACCATTATTCCTTTTGAATTTTTCTTTTATTTTCAACTTAATTTTCCACCACACTTAATTATATATATACACACATAATAAATTACAACCACACATAACACATTAAATAAATAAATGTGATGAAATTGGACTCAACCAAAACCCCCGTACTCAACAGTTCTAGCAACGAGTCCCACACGGAATCGTCCGGCCCGAAAAACAAAAAAATGTAAAAATGGCAACCTTAGCATTTCAAAGAGTCCTGGACTCAATGAAATGTCCCAACCAACTCTCGGACACAACCGGCACGCCAAATGAGAAAAGACAAGAATGCCCTTGCATGAACAAAAAATTCCAAAAAAATGGAAAATGGTGATATTTAGAAATATTACAAAAATGCAACATTAACTCTAGACTCTAATGGGCTCCTATATGTGCTTAATAAGACAGGTACCAACATAAAGAACATAACCAATAGCGGAAGCTCATCCGTGGGGAAGATGTTCCGTTCAACGATGGGTTCAGATGGTTTATGGAGGTTATATTCTTATAGTTCGAATCAGAATGGTAATTGGACAATTGAGTGGTCTGCACCAGATGATAGGTGTAGTATTAAAGGCATGTGCGGCATTAATGGGTTTTTTGTTCTCATGGATCAAGAGCCTTCTTGCACTTGTCCTCCTGGTTTTGTATACATTAATCAGGGGCAAAAGAATTTGGGCTGCAACAAGAATTTCAGTACAGAGAGTTGTGTTTTCAAGTATGGAAACATAAATTATACAATTTATGAATTGGATAATACCATGTGGGAGGACAGTGTATACTTTACTTATCTGTCCATGACCAAAGAAGATTGTAAACAGGCCTGTTTAGATGACTGCAGCTGCGAACCCACGACATTTCAAAACCAAGAGTGCAGAACACAAAAACTTCCATTGAGATTTGGGAAGAGAAAAGTAGATGACTCCACTGGAACTCTTGTAAAAGTAGGCACTAGGGGATCGACCGGCAGGAATGAAACTCCTACTGTGACTAATCGGGTTCCTAAATCAAGCAAGAAAGGACAGAGAATGGATATTCTAATTATTGGTATTGCATGCTTAACTTTTGCATTTATTGTTCTAATACTCACTGTTGTTATATATAGACATCGCATTGGGGCATATAAAGAGCTTCTTAGTGCACAGGATGATGGGTTAATTGAGGATGTAACCCTGTGATCATTTTCCTATGATGAACTTGAAAAAGCAACCAGTGGCTTTAAAGAAATATTGGGCCAAGGAGCTTTTGGAACAATTTTTAAAGGGGTGTTATCAGATAGGCAAAAGGCAATTGCTGTCAAGAGATTGGAGAAGGTGGTAGCTGAAGAAGACATAGAATTCCGTAATGAGATGAGAGCTATTGGGAGAACCAATCACAGGAATTTAGTCCGGTTGCTTGGCTACTGCCATGAAGGATCCAATAGGCTTTTGGTGTACAAGTACATGAGCAACAGTTCATTGGCAAACTTTCTTTTCAAATCTGAAGTACAACCAAATTGGGATCGAAGAATTCAGAATGCTCTTGACATGGCTAAAGGCATCTTATATCTGCACGAGGAGTGCAATAGACAGATCGTTCATTGTGACATAAATCCCAAAAACATACTCATGGTTGAGCATTGCAGAGTAAAAATTGCAGACTTTGGATTGGCAAAGTTACTAATGCCGGAGCAAACCAGGACATTCACCGGCAGCTTCAAAGGAACAAGGGGATATGTTGCCCCTGAGTAGTACAGGAGCTTGCCCATAACTGCAAAAGCTGATGTTTACAGCTATGGGATTGTGTTCTTGGAGATCATATGTTGTCGCAAGTGTGTTGATATAAATTTTGCACAGAATGAGGCAGTCCTCGCTGACTGGGTGTACACCTGTTTCAAGGAAAATGAGTTGAGAAAGCTAGTTCGTGAGGAAGAGGTGGACGAGCAACAATTGGAGAGGATGGTCAGGATTGGACTTTGGTGCATCCACGATGAGCCGTCGCTCCGCCCCTCAATGAAGAAGGTCGTATTGATGTTATAAGGGACTATAGAAATACCAGTTCCTCCTAGTATTACTACTTCCTTTGGTGTTGTCTAAGTAGTGTTAGGCTTAGTGACACAACAATGGCTATTACTTATATGCTTTGTAATCAAAGATATGATAAACTATCAACATAAAATCTTCCAAAGTATGTTTCCTTTTCTTGCTCATTTCTGTTTAGTGTTGTTATATGTATCTACAAATTCCTGCAATAAAAAAAGAGTTTCTTTGTTGATCTCATTCTATTACAATGTATAATAAATACTTCTCTGCATATAACAAAAGTCTTCCAATGTTACCCCAAGAAGTTGACTTAGTGGTAAAATCATCTGACTTGGGTGCTTACTAGCATCAAGGTCTGGGGTTCGATTCCCACTAGGAACTTTCGACAATTTGGGGCCAATCCTCTGCTGCCATAGTCAGCGACTTACCAATCCAAGTATAATATATAACTATATAATCCTTCATCAACTAATCGATTGTGGGGGCAATGGGGGCATAGCTCAATATCTTAATTAAATAGGTGCAAGATAACTTTTGTGTTTTTGTTTTTTTTCAAAGCATAGTAAATAAAACAACTCTACATTAATTGATATTATCATCCAATACATTTACAATTATCTTCGACAAGTTTTCAGATTTTGAATAAGTCATATGATATATACCATTATTATCTATACTGCCAAATATGTCTTAATCAATATATGAAATCAAGCTATCACTTAATCTCACATCCAATTGCCAATTGATTCTTCACAATATTCATAGCAAGAAAATATGCGTCATCTTTAGACTGACAGTCTGGTGTGAGATTTATATGTACCACTCGCAAGTGTCGTATCCAAGGGACTTGGGTAAAATAAGTTTGTCAACAGATTTCTTAAAATTCAAATTAACTTGTGATAGGGAAAAATAAACCTAACCTATCTTGACCTAACGATAGAGGCAACTAAGTGATGACCAGATGCCAAATCTCTTCTACTTTCGAAAGATAATATTTCGTTATCAAGGATAACGATTTCCATTGGATAAATTCCATGGGATAATGACAAATCTTATTAAGGATAAGATTTCCATGGGATAAGTTCCATGGGATAACGATTATGATATTTCCTCATCAAGAATAAGGGAAGTGACAATAAATAAGAAAACGACTCGGGAATAAGGTACGATGAAAAAACTATTATTAAATCCCTGCCTTCTTTTTAGACCTCTGGTGACTAACTTGATCATTGGAGAGCTCTTGGCAGGCACCACACCGGTGCTGTCAAGGTTCATCGATCTTTTCCTCTTCCTTGCAGGAAAACGACGTCGTATCGGACCGCGTGAATTTCACCCTCAACAGTTCGCGCCATCTATGGGAACGACGATTCCTTTGAATCAATTAATTACTCAATTGGGTATATACATTTGCGGTCTGGTATGGTCACCGAAGGAACACCGTCGCCGGGATCTGGTCAAAGAGTCCGGTGAAAACCTAGACGTCCCAAACGACCAAACATGGCTTGCAGCGTTAGAACTCAAGCTCCAAACTCTGAGTCAGGGTATGGACCAGATGATTCAACAAAATGCAACGCTCCTGCAGCATCTTGTTCCACCGGTTCAACAAAACTTGCCACAACAAGATCTCTCAAATCCAAACGGAGGTAATAAGAATCTTGAAGAGCAAGATAATCATCCTCCCTGAAGTGAGACCAAAGTGGAACAAAGCCAGGTGGGAAACTGACATAGAGAGGTGGTCCACCCATCTCTCCCATAGAGGTCCTGACCTTACGAAGGCACAGCTTTTTGTCTTAAAGAAAAGACAAAGATAGTTACCTATTTCGACTTGCAGATTGAGGATCTCAAGGGGAAAATGGAAGATGTAATGCGGGCTATGAAAAGGAAAGGTCTTGCCGCCATAGACGACTTGGTACAAAGGACCAACTTGCTATTCAGCCCTGCCATTATGAAATGTCCATTGCCTAGCAAGTTCAGGATGCCCTCGTTCGAAAGCTTTGATGAGACCAAAGATCCCCTCGATCACCTAGAAACCTTTCAAGCTCTTATGCATTTGCACGCTATGCCAGATGCAAATATGTGCCGAGCTTTTCCCACTACACTTAAGGGATCGACAAGAGTTTGGTTCAACAAGCTAAAGCCAGGAACCATCAACACCTTCGAAGAACTGAGCAAGCAATTTGTGAGCCACTTCATTGCAGGTCAGAGGCATAGGAGGCCGGCCACCTACCTGCTTACTTTGAAGCAACGAAGGGCAAGCCGATCCAGGAATACATCACCCAGTTTGACACAGAGATGTTACAGGCAGAAGAGGTGGATGACAAGGTGGCTTTGACCATTTTCATCGGAGCACTCCAAACCTTGAGATTCTTATTCACCTTATCCAATAAACCTCCCACCAACATGGCAAAGTCATTGATCAGAGTGCAGAAAAATATAAACGCTGAAGACGCCATGAATGCATGGAAGGGAAAAGAAGGAGAGAACAAGAAGAGGTCAGCCCCTCTCACATGGGATGAAAAGGATACCTGTTATAAGATATCATTCTTCAGCCAAAGTTATAGGCTATATAGTGAGGAGGACTCAGATAGGTATACCGACTAACAGTTGTCTCACAGTTGGAATTAACCTTATCAAGTCATTCAAAATAAAGACTAGGGGCATCTTAGTTCATTATTTCACATGTTATTTCATTTTATAATAAAGTCACCATCACCAGTGAGATGGATGACCCTCAATTCCTACGTAATAAAATATTATGGTTTCAGTTACCTACTTATGTGGTAATATCAAGCTGAAAATAATCTATTTATCTCCTTAAAGGGACGAAGGGCCAACAACACATTCTTCCTTTATTAAAGGGACAAGAAGCCGACTACTCCTTCGACACAGAAGGGTGAAATAATTAAAGCTTCCTTCATTTACTAGAGAGACAAGACGACTATCTCCCGTACTATAAGGGATCATAAATAAGTGTCCTATATTATAAGGACCCGGGCTGAGTGAATCCCGTAATCAATATCCCTGTACTACAAGGGATAGTAAATAAGTGTCCTGTATTACAAGGACTCGGGCTGAATGAATTCCGTAATCCATATCCCCATACTATAAGGGATAGTAAATGAGTGTCTTGTATTAGAAGGACTCGGGCTGAGTGAATCCCGTAATCAATATCCCTGTATTTTAAGGGTCCTGTATTATAAGGACCCGGGCTGAATGAATCCCGTAATCCATATCCCCATACTATAAGGGATAGTAAATGAGTGTCTTGTATTACAAAGACCCGGGTTGAGTGAATCCCGTAATCAATATCCCCGTATTATAAGGGTCCTATAATCACTATCCCCTTACTATAAGGGGTAGTAAATAAAAATCCCTTACTAAAGGGACGAGCTGAGTAAAGCTTGTAAAATTTAATCCCCTTATTAAAGGAGTAGCGACCTAAGTGAAGCTCGTACAATTTATTCCTTTACCAAGGAAAGATTACCCAAGGGTGTCAAAAATAATACCCAAGAGAAGAGTACCCAAGGGTGCCAAAAATAGTAACTAAGGGAAGAGTACCTAATGATACTAAAAATAGTACCAAAGGGTACCAAAAATAGTACCCAAGGGAAGGTCACCCAAGGATACTAAAAATAGTACCCAAGGGTACTAAAATTAGTACCCAAGGGAAGACTACCCGAGGGGAGATTACCCAAAGGAAGACTACCAGAGAGGAGATTACCCAAGGGAAAAGTATCCAAGGGTTAAAAAAAAAAAAAAAAAAAAAAAAAAAAGGTGTTACTGTTCATGTGAACAGTTTCGCGGGAATAGTCCCCGTGGGTACTGTTCCCAGGGCAAGGAAAAAAAAAAAAAAGTTTTTAATGTTCATGTGAACAGTACCACATGAATAGTTCCTGCGGGTACTATTCCCAAGGTAAGAAAAAAAAAATTAATAACATTCCCAAAGCTGGACGAGCAAGCTTGGGAATGGGGGCATCTGATAGGGAAAAATAAACCTAACCTATCTTAACCTAACGATAGAGGCAACTAAGTGCTGACCAGATGCCAAATCTCTTCTACTTTCGAAAGATAATATTTCGTTATCAAGAATAACGATTTCCATTGGATAAATTCCATGGGATAATAACAAATCTTATCAAGGATAAGATTTCCATAGGATAACTTCCATATGATAAGTTCCATGATATTCCCTTATCAAGAATAAGGGAAGTGACGATAAATAGGAAGACGACTTGGGAATAAAGTACGACGAAAAAACTATTATTAAATCCCTACCTTCTTTTTAGACCTCCGGTGACTAACTTGATCGTTAGAGAGCTCTTGGTAGGCACCACACTGGTGTTGTCAAGGTTCATCGATCTTCTCTTCTCTTCTCTTCCTTGTAGGAAAACGATGTCGTATTGGACCGCGTGAATTTCACCCTCAACAACTTGAAAGTAAAATAAAATAAAAAAACAATAATTAAATAAGATGTAGAAAATGAAGAGAGAGGACTAGGGGTATGATTTCACCACTAATGTTGCACCACCAGTCAATTGCATCAATTTATTGGAGATATATTATACATGCATAGGGAATTAATCATGGCTACAAGCACATATTAATTCAGCTGGAAAATAATATAATTTAAAGTTAATCATGGACTATCTTCGATTGGTATAAACCATCTACCTATCTACTTTACTCTAGGGTGTAGCATGGTCAATCTTTTCTAGGCATAATCCATCAAATCTCTAACATTATATTAAGAGAAATACCATTGTGTAATCATCTCATTTGCAACTACAAGAAGCGAATGAGTTGTGTTCAATCACACGATTAAAATATCTAAGACAAGATCGAAAAATATTTGTAATTGAATTAAAACTTGAAAACCGATTTTTATTGAAAAGTCAATTAAAAATCTCATAGATTACACAATCATGCATGATAAAAATTGTTCTCCAATAATTAAATACAATCAAACCAGTGTGCTAAGCTAGGGCTACATCACAACC